TAGTTTTTTGTGGTGAGCTGTGCCCTGGACATGATTGTGATTTGACAGTGAGTTTGGGCTGGCCCAATGAAAAAGTGTGAGGATCCATGAGGATCCACTTCAAAACCACGTTTTTGGTCCACGGTATGCCAGGAAGCCGTGGATCCGTGATTTTTGTGGTGGATGCTGTGCCCTGGTATGATGTTTGATTGATGGTGACTTTGGTTGGCAATGCAAAAATTGAGGATCCATGAGGATCCGTGCTTCGAAACCATTTTTGGCCATGGCGTTGCCAGAACCGTGGATCGAGTTTTTTGTTGTGTAGCTGTGCCCCTGGTATGATGTGTGATTTGCCGTGAGTTTGGTTGGCCCAATGAAAAAAGTGTGAGGATCCGCTTCAAAACCACGTTTTTGGCCATGGGTTGCCAGGAAGCCGTGGATCTGATTTTTTGTGTGCAGGCTGTGCCCCTGGATATGATGTGTGATTTGACACGTGAGTTTGGGTTGGCCCAATGCAAAAAGCGTGAGGATCCGTGCTTCGAAACCACGTTTTTGGGCCACGGTATGGCCAGGAAGCCGTGGATCTCAATTTTTTGTGTTGCAGGCTGTGCCCCTGGCCATGATGTGTGATTTGACAGTGAGTTTGGGTGGCCCAATGTAAAAAGCGTGAAGATCCATGAGGATCCGTGTTCAGAACCACGTTTTTGGGCCATGGATGGCCAGGAAGCCATGGATCCGTAATTTTTGTGGTGGATGCTGTGCCCATGCCAGATGTTTGATCTGATGGTGACTTTGGGCTGATCCATGCAAAAATCATGAGGATCCATGAGGATCCATGCTTCGTACCACGTTTTTGGGCCACAGTATGGCCAGGCAGGTGGATCCGAGTTTTTTGTGGTGCAGGCTGTGCCCTGGCTATGATATGTGATTTGACAGTGAGTTTTGGTTGGCCCAATGCAAAAAGAGTGAGGATCCATGAGGATCTGTGATTCAAAACCACGTTTTTGGGCCATGGAGTGGCCAGGAAGCCGTAGATCTCAGTTTTTTGTGTGCAGGCTGTGCCCCTGGCCATGATGTGTGATTTGACAGTGATTTAGGTGGCCTAATGCAAAAAGCGTGAGGATCCATGAGGATCCGTGCTTCAAACCACGTTTTTGGGCCACATATGGCCAGGAAGCCGGATCAGTGATTTTTGTGGTAGATGCTGTGCCCCTGGTCATGATGTTTGATCTGATAGTGATTTGGGCTGGTCTTGCAAAAAATCATGAGGATCCATGGTTCGAACCACGTTTTTGGGCCACGGTATGGCCAGGAAGCGTGGATCCGATTTTTGTGGTAGGCTGTGCCCCTGGCTATGATGTGATTTGACAGTGAGTTTGGGCTGGTCAATGCAAAAAGTGTGAGGATCCATGAAGATCCATGCTTCAAAACCACGTTTTTTAGCCACGGTATGGCCAGGCAGCGTGGATCCGATTTTTGTGGTGTTGGCTGTGCCCCTGGACATGATATGTACCGTAAATTTCGCTCTATAACACGCAGATTTTTTCTCCTAAAAAGTAAGGTGAAATGTCTGTGCGTGTTATTGAGCGAATGTGTGGTCCCTGGAGCTGACTCTCCGGAGCTAAGGGGCAAAATAGGCAAAAATAAGGCAAAAATAAGATCGGGCGGCGGGCGGGCGGAGGGAAGGCGGAAGCTGTTGCTTTCCTGCATTCTGCCTCAGGGTCTTACTGCCCACCCGCTTCTGTTGCTGCGTTTGCTCAAACTCAACAAAGAGCAGGGAATCCCCTGCCCTCCTGGCAAGCAGAGGGTTAAGGAAATGATCGAGTCCTTCTAATTCTTTCCTAGTCCATCTAAAAGTACATAGATGACTTTCTTAAATGTATGCCAATATGATTTGTAGTGGTTTATCATACAGTTCCTAAATGCATGTTAACTCTTTAGGGAGGCTTCATTTAAACATATTTACA